ACAGATCCCCCGCTTTCCTGGGGCCTTTGGAGTGCTTTCCCCCCGAGGCGGTCTTGGACCCCTCGGCGGTCTGGCCCTCCTCCGAGCCGGTTGAGGGCGGAAGTACGGGGCCTTTCCCTGTTGTCATTATGGCGGTCCCGGGACTGAACTTCCTGGGAGGACGTATCTTGGGCCACCACCCCTTCGTCGTTTCTCACCCGAGGGGTGGGATTTCCGAAGGGGTGTGGCAGAGGGGGAAGTTTGATATTTTCCCCGATCTGAGGGTGAGATGGAGCCAGGGTGCCGAAGGCACCCGGGTTCTGGGTGAGCGTCTGGATGAAGGCGGAGAGCGCCGATTGCACGTCGATGGTGAGTACCGGAGGGCTGACTTGGTCATCGCTTCGGTTTTTCTTCATGGCCTCGATGCCGAGGCGGGCATCGGGGGCATTTTGTTGGATCTGAAGGCGTAGGTCGACAGCCGCCTGTTCCAGCCCAGCGATGACACCGCCCTCGGGAGCCCTGTGAGAGGCTTCGGGGGCGTTGACGTCGCCGAGGGCCAGGTTCTTGTCTTCTACGTTCTTTGAGTTGGCACGTGTTGTCCTCACCATTTTGATAGAGGGCTAGTGTTTTGTGTTTGGTCGAGGGGGAGGGTTTCTTACTCGATTGTTCAACCTCTCAACGAGAGCACCAAAATGATGGATAGTCTACCCCGGGGTATGTATCCGAAGGGTTATTACGGGGAATAACTTAGAGAGAAGTCAGAGCAAGTAAGTAAAAGTAGAGAGAGAAAATGTATTATAAATGCGGAGTGTTTTCAGCGTGTTATGACTTGGTTACAAATGGGGAAATGGGGTGCTATTTATAGTAGCAATAAATGCCGGGCAGGGACACGTGTCAGGCGCTCATTGGCCGAGGGGTCACCTCAACTGGTTGGCGCTGGCAGCCGCATGTGGCCGCATTTAATGCGACTGTTGGACGGGACGTCTGTGCGGGGTACGGTGATCTGTACGCATGTGAGGCAGATATCTTGTCGAGTGAGATGCCTTCGGCTATAGAGCAGTAGCCGAGGGCTCTTCCACCCGATGGCACCCCTGGTGCCGAGGGCTCACAGTGCCGAGGGCTGCTGTTTTCGCCGTTTTCTCCCAGTTTCTTAGTTTGCTTGAGAAACCCGTTCTGTGAGAATTTGGAGCCTTCGGCCAGGGGGCCGAAGGCACCCCTGGCTCGTAGTGCGGACTGGCTGGTACTCTGGGCGCTGTGATTTGGGTCTGTTGGGCCCTCTGGGTCTGTTGGGCCTTCGCTGGAGTAGTAGGAGTCTGTGGGCCGGGGGTTCCCGGGCCATATACTCCATCAGAGAGTACAAAAGCGCTAACGAAGGAAGAAACCTAATGAATAAGGGAAAACAATCCATGCTATTGAAGAGATAGAAACTAAAACAAAAGCCAATAAACACGAGAAAAGTCACATGTTGGACGCCTCTGGAAATCATAAAGGGAGATTTCAACAAATAGGAGCAAAACGTACAGATTTTCCAAAACTAAGACAGAAAATTAGGGTAAGACTCAACTACACCTGCATTGACCACAATACCCTTACTTTTAGAAAATAACAGACATTAAATAGACAATAAATAGACAATAAGTAGACATTAAATAAACAATGAAGAAAATTGCTCCCATCTTCTCCCGACTCTATCCCGTTTGTCCTTCGCAAATCCAGATCCACGCAGCTCCGTCTTTAGGTCTCCGCCTCCGAAGCTAGGTCGCCGTCTCTCCTCCATCTTCCGGTCATGGCTCGAAGTCTGGCAGCATCTCCTTCTTCGCCTTCGTCCTCACCTTCCTTACCGTCGATGTTCGCCATCACCACCGTTGTTGCTCGTCGCCGCTCCTGTCACCACCGCCCTTGCTAGTCGTCGTCAGCGATGTCTATTCCGTATGGTGAAGTCGGCGATTTGGGGCAGGACCATGATATTGCAGAGGGCGAGTGCAGGGGATTTGGGAGGTCTTCGCCGCTGCTTGCTTCCGTCCATCTGAAGGGGTAAATTTGGAAACTAATATTTATGTTTCTTAAAATAGGAGTATATAAGTATTATAGATGGAAATAAACTAAAGAAATCCTACTTTTATAAAATTTGTATGAATTGGTCTCACTGGCAGCAATTTTCTCAATCATAAATCTCCCAAAAACTTGCCAAATAGCTTGAATCCTCTCAAACAGCCAACAAAACATATCCTCTCCCAAATCAACAAAGCCAAATGGCAGATTTTCAGTCACTTTTTTCCCAAATGATTTATGATCATATTTTTGCCTACAACAACTCTTGGAGTAAAATCTATGCCATTGTTTCCAAGTTTCTCTCTATTTTAATGTTCATTTCCTTCTTTCTTGGTGTAAAAAATGGAAGGGCAACATTAATTGGAAAGCCAAGAGCAAACAATATCTTTGCGCTATAATCAATTGAGAGATTAATATGAGACGTAAAGAGTAGTATGCATTTTATTATGATAAGACGTGTGGTTTATATATATTATTATAAATTGTGGAGTTATCATCAAATAAAAAACTTTGTTAGCGTGTGGAATCATTCACACCCAGGCCAGTACCTGTATTCGTTGCACTTTATATGCACTGTAATGCACTTCTTGACATTTTTGTCAAAAACTTGCTTATTTACAAAATTGTCACCGCATGTTTGACTAAAACGCGGCGGGATTTTTGTAAATAAATAAGTTTTGGCAAAACGTTAAAAAGTGCATTACACATAAAGTGCAATGAATATAGGTAAAGGTGAGTGTAAAAGATTTCACATGTTAAACCTTCTTTTCATTTTAACCAACTCCTTAAATTGTGTGTTTATATGCTTGGTTAGTGTTTGATATCTTTATCTTTATATATATAAAGAGGGTATGGTGTGAATCCAAATACAAATTCATTTGGAGCCAAAAGAAGTTAAAAATTAGTGTTGTAATTAATGAAGCGTTATTTAATTCCTCAATAGTTAATAACAATAATTGATTAAGTACATGTCTAATTAATAGTTGTAATTTATAAATAAAACATTAGAAAAACCAGTCAAAAAGTTAGAAAAATGAAATGTTGTAATTTTAAAATATAAATCAGATTACTACATTATACTCAAGCTTGATGGATCAGCTAGAAATATTTAATTGTACTATATCTATCAATTAATAAATATGTAATTTTTTTTTAAAAAAAAACAATCTTTACTCGATCCATGCAAATGAAAATATAATTGTTCTAAATGAAATTTAATAATGATGAAATCAAACTTAGTTGAACTAGACAATAATAGTAAGCAGCAAACTACAATCTTTATAACAACACATTTATAAAAATTATAAACATGTAAGTGATACAATACCCCACTAATAAGTGAGGGTACCGCATTTATAATGCATACGATTGGTCCATATCATTATTTAACATTTATTTATGTTACCATTTCTAATTGGCCCCATTTTGACAAGGCGGGGTATCTTGGATGTATTGTAGAATTTGCCTTTATAGAAATGATGATATATATTTGAAGCATCTATTTTCTGATAACACTTTTTTTGTGATTTTTTGATAGTGTAATTATTCTGAATATTTTTTAAAGTAATTTTTTTTATATAACCCACATAAATACATGTTCGCGTCTTCTTAAGTAATACGAGTAATATTATTAGCTCCACTCATTGAAAATAGTGTGATTAATATATATTGATTCTTTATTCTCTAGATAATTAAAATCTAACTCCACGATTTATGCATATATTTATCATTATATTTGTAGTCCTTATAGGAAATATGGTGATGTTGATGAAAAGAGATATTCTAAAATAAACATTTCAACTTTTGGACGGAACTTATTTAGAAACATTAAAGCACGACCAATTTCAAGTTTAGGTACATTTTATTATTCAAAAAAAGTGAAACATTTTTTCATAAAGATTATATAAATCAAGTATTCGAGAAATAATAAAAGGTAATGTATAGAATAATGACCATAACTATCACTAAATAACGTGAGATTGTAATATAATACTAATTGTTACCATCTTTATTAGACAAGATAAAATGAGGGCAAATGAATGTTTATTAAGTGATTTTATATTAGTTTGTGTATCTTTAATAATTATCATACATGTACTCTAATTCAACTCTATATATATTATTTTAATGTTTATACAAGAAGTATGTATATACACATTACTCATAAAATTAATTAATCGCATTCGTTATCTGTACATCATACGGTTCGATTGACTAGTAGAGATCCAAAAAGAAATCTAATTAGAGTCAAAAGAAGTAAAAAAAGTTGTTGTCACTATTAGTGAAGCATTAATTATTTAATATCTCAATAGTTAATAACAACCAATGACTAAATACAAACCTAATTATTGGTTGTAAGTTACAAATAAAACATTCGAAAATTGAACATAAAGACATTAAATATAAATAAAATTAATAAAAAATATTTGAAACATTTACATACATAATTATTTAAGAGCCATAATATAATAAAGTTAAAAATGAAATTTTCTGATTTTAGAATATAAAATAGAGTATTACTATATTCAAGAGTGATGAATTCATATACAAATATTATATACATAGTAAAGGACAATGATATTATTTAGTACTCCCCCATAAAATGTGGTCAAAATTGACTTGCATGTTGACATAAACTAAATATTATGCGATTGAGATTTGTGCAAATCATAGAAGAGAAAAATAATTTACCCACACACTTCATACTTTACATTTTAAATGGAAATGACAAATTTTTAGGCAGTTGCGTAGATAATGTTGGCAAAGTTCAACGGGACGGAGAGTAATTATTATTGGTAATCAGTTGTAAAATAAAATAAAAAAGTATTCATTTAATTCCACCAATCTATCCATAAAAAAGACAATTTAACTATATCTATCCATTAATTAGGTTTGTAGCTATTTTTCTTTTTTAAAAAGAATTCAATCGTTAGTAGATGCACACAAATGAATATATGATTGTACTATATGAAATTTAATATGAAATTGAACTAGAAATTAATTGCACAGAAATAAACGACAATTTTCACAACAACGCATCTGTAAAAAATTATATAAAAGTGGGAGTCAATACTATGCTACCCACTAATAAGTGAGGGTACCATTTCTATCGTCTACAATGCATATGATTGGTCAATATCATTATAAAAATGCTCATACTATAACACTCCACTAATATTTATGTGTGATATATTCGCACGGGTAGCTCAGTTGATCGAGTGGTGGGATATTTGGATCAATGGACCAAGGTTCGAATCCCCGCAGCGACCGGGTGGAGGTCACAGAACCTGAAATAAAGCTGATCCTCTGGTGCGCACGGGTGTATGGGCCTACTGCCATTCTGCTGACTGAGTCATCGTGACTAACCTCCCCACCCTCCTGTCGGGTCGGGATGGGGGGCTCCTGGGGTGGGAGATTCCACCGTTTGGATCAATATTTATGTGTGATAAAGTGAGAATACGGTAGAAATGAATCACATAAATTTTACCAAATTTGATATAAAATAATCTTAGTGGAACGGACTTAAAAGGAAAAATGGAACAATTTTATAATCTTAGCTGGTGCCTAGAAAAAGCGGATGAAGAAGCGGGCAGTGGGCGGAGGAGAGAATATACAGTGGGGGGGACTTGGTCTTTGTGTGCCACAGCAATGGAATTCCGTAGGTATGAGGACCTTTCCGGATTATTGGTAAGGTAGGAAAAGTTTGATATAAGGCTTGACCTACCAAATAATTGATTGATGATTCATTCATTCATTCCCCATTTAGATAGAAATCACACCCATACAGTAATTTCAGTTGAGTGAGAAAGAATTGCTACTACAAATCTTTGACATACATGATTACTGTAAAAGAAAAGAGTTGAGGAAGAGAAAGATTGCCTCCTCTCCTTGTCATCCACCACCAGGGGATGATGGTGAAGTTACTTGACTTCTGATTCTACTGGACCGCCTCACAGGAGTAATCACTTCTTCTCCCTACAGTTCGTTCAAACAACAAGTTACTTTTCTTGAGCATGAGCAACTTTTTAAAAGTCAAAAAAGATTGATTGATTAATATATATATAACTCACAAGATGTTGTTGATGATGATGCTTGATGGGAATCCTCTCGTACGTGGTGAAGCTCCCGTAAGAAAGGCATTCCCCGATTGAAGTAGCAATGGATTCCCTCCGGTGGCTACTGCTGCTGCTGCTCTTCCGTCGCTCTCGGTTGCTGCTATAAGATGTGGTGCTGCTTACATGCCCTGAAGGACAAAGGCCCGCCTCAACAGCAGCCGCCACCCACTTCTTTGCCCAACATTGTTTCAGATAGGTAAACACTGCAGCAGCTACACTAAGAAGAAGAAGAAGAAGAGACAATGGAATTCTTCTCAGCCTTGCAGTAGAGATACTACTCCCTTCTTGCTGCAGTGTTTCAACTGGAGACTCCTCATCGTCATCATCGGCTTTACTGTTACTCTTCTCATCAATGGAAGAATCCCTCAAAATGGTGGTATTAGAAACAACATGATGATCATCGATGGGTGGACCATCCACCAATTCTACGCCATCATCTTCTTCCTCCACCTCCTCCTCTTGCATTTCATTTTCACTTGACCAAGAAGAACAATCATTTATTTTTTCCTCATCATTGGAACTTCTCTGCCCATCCTCATCCACTACTACTTCAGCAACTGAAACTTCTCTGCTCTCACCAACATTAGTATAATAAGATCCTTCAGGTACAATGGGACTATCCAATTCAATATCTTCATCACCCTTTTGATTCCTACTTGAGCTTTCCTGACCCTCCTCTACTGCAACTACTTCTTCAAGAACTGAAATCTGTCCTCCATCCCCAAAATAAGAATAAACTTCTTCTATGGTTGCTATGTCTTCGTCCCCTTCTCCTTCTATGCCTTCTTCTTCATCATCAGAGTCAACTTCCTCTTCTGCCGCCGCATCATCTTCTTTAACCCCCAAATCATCATATTCTACATTCTTATCCATCTCATTTTCTTCCAACTTCTTAAACCCTCCTCTATACTCTAACAACTCCCATTTTCTCCCTCCTATAAGACTGGTTGAGTTTGTATGACTCAAGCATGATGATGAAATCCATAATTGCTGCAGGCCATCTTTCATAGCAGATTGAATTCGAGGTCCCGGGTTAGGAGAGAGATCTGCTTTTTTCATCAAATCTTTCATTCCAAAAAAGTTTACAAGTGGGCAATTACTAGCTGACTTTGACATACCAGCAGCAATCATGATGAGGAGCAAAACAGTAACAGCCCATGCTGAACCCGTATAGGATCTACTTTTCATTTCCTTTTTCTGACCAGGTACATCCTCACGTATTGTTCCTTCAGATTCTAGTTTCATTACAGTCTCCTCCTCAAAAGTCTTAGGCTCTTGTGCCACAATCTCTTCCTCGGTAGTAGTGGGAGAAGGAGGAGAATCATCTGAATCTTGTCGAGATTCCTCAATATGAGGCTCAGAATCTTCAATTGTAGACACAAAGGCTTCATCTAGGTGCCTACTTTCCCCCACCACATCACAACCATTTTCCATACTTTTAAGAGCTTCAATTCTTGGCTTAGGTCTGTAGTGGAGAAACTGAGGTCTAGGGGAAAGGTAATTAGTCTTGGGATCATAAGGACTCCCAGATGGATTAGCAGCTACTAGTGGAGCTAAAGAAGTTACAATACTTGGAGAAAAATCGTAACAAGAATTTGTATTTTTTGGTGATGTCTCATTACTGAAAGAGGAGTCCATTACTACAGTCCCATGATCAATATGTAAGGGTGCCTCAGAAAATGTCACCTTTCTCACGGATTTGGTCGTATCCAAGCAAATCTCGGACTTTGGTTTTGAGTTTTCTGTAGAATCCGGAGGAATGGACGAAAAGAAAGTGGCTTTACCGTCACATAGCGAAATTGATGACCTTACAGGCTCATTTCTCTCCACCAACACTTTCTTCTTGGGTGATGGACAAAACTTTGAAGCTGCCGAAATGGTTGGGGACATGAAATTCTTAGCAGGTGAACGGAGTTTTGCAGCTCTCTCGTTCTCCTTCTCTGAGCAATCCCATGCAGCTCTTATCTCTTCTTTATCCGGTAATCCCCTCCTGACAGAATCTGAAATACCCAAAAAAAAAAAAACGAATTCAGAAAAGTCAATAGTTATTACTCTATCATTTTTACTACAAAACTAGTAATTTCTTGAAAACTCTACTTAAGATCAAGAAAATGTGTACCAGCAGGGCTGTTAGCAGGAGTGGTGGGGCAGATAGTTCGTCTGGGGTTGGAGAGTGGGAAAGGTTTGGTAGATGCACTGCCGCTGAAACTTCTTCTGGCAGCGGAATGGGTGTCCGGGGAGGAGATTCTAGGCCTTGCCACCGAAGGAGACTGAGATCTATTGGAGGGGATTGCCACTGTCATTGCTCAAGAATTACTTACTATATTTTTCAAAGCAGGCGAAGGGGCTCTTCAGATTTGGGGAATCCAATCCAATAAGCAGACAATCGAAGTCTGGAGCAGAAAACGGAAAATTATTTACTCTTCGGATCGGTGATTTGATATTGATGATTCTAAAGGATTCGGTCTCAAACTCTCTATTGGTTTTCTCTCGGATAACGGCTAGTTTCCGATTTCAGCTGCGGGTTAAGTGATTTGAATTTTTGACCGTTTGGGCTACAAATCGTGGGTAACGGCCGCTACCATAATTAGGTGATTTGATATTGATTCTAAAGGATTCGGTCTCAAAATTTTCCGTTGTATCTTTTCTAATTGCAATATTAATGAATTTTCACTATTCACTTACCCTATTTTAATGAGTTAATTATCAAAATAGGACTAAAAGTCATTCACTTTTCACAAATAGGACCAAAAAATGAACTATGTTTGCATAGGACTAATTATGTGTACCTTGGACAATTATACCCTTATAGCTATTAAAATGTTTTAATTCCTAATAAAATAATAAAAAATATTAAAAAATTCGTAAAAAATAATAAAAAATTAAGAAAAAAATTTCGATATTAAAAATTTAATTAATTTTTTTTTTCAAAAAATTAAAAAAATAAAAAAATAAAAAAAAAAAATATAAACTCAAAAAAAAAATCGCCGCCGCCTCTGCCGCCTCAGCACCACCACCTCCAGTCACCGGGGGGAAAAAAATGCCAAGTTCATTACGAATGCCATATTTATGGCAGAAAAAAATGAAAATGTTGACATTCGAAAAGAGAAATATGTCATTTTTTGGCATTTTCAGAAAAAAATGACATTTTCTGGGAAAATGGCATTTTTTTCATCGGCCGGAGGTGGTGGTGCTGGGAGGTAGTACATGCGGTGGGAAAGGCATCCATATTTTTTAAATTTTTTTTACGGAGTTTTACTATTTTTTATAAATTTTTTCAAAAAAAAATATTTTTTTAAAAAAAAGTTTTTGAATTTTTTATTTTATAAAAATTTTATAAATATTTTAATTATATTTCTACGAATTTTTGATTTTTTTTTCGAATTTATTATGAATTAAACATTTAATTATGACTTTTGACTATTTTTAATTCATATTTAATGGAAGGGTAAGAATGTAATGCAAAAATACGTATGTTTCCAATAGGACTCATATGGTCCTATTTTGGAATAAAAACATAGCAAGTCCTATTTTAGGTTTTTGCCATAGTTTTAGTCCTATTTGAACTAATTTCTATATTTTAATTACATTTTATTTATCAATGTATTTTCAATTAAAATTTTAAAAAATATTGTTATATTCTTCCTTTACACTTTTAGAAATAATGACCTTTATATTAGTATTACACTTTTCAATTCCAAAAATATTACAGAGTACATGTTTTCCTTTTACCGAAAAAGTGACCCTATTTAATTAGTGCCCCAATTAACTCAAATTCTCCATACCATTTCATTTATTTAATTAATTATTAATTAATTAATACCTAATGGTTCAATCCCAGTCCATTCATCCGCATGGAGAACATGAGCCACTGCCGCTTACCACTCGCCGATGCCATCCATATTCCCTCATCTTCTTCTCCTTTCTTCTATCCGCAATTTCAACGCCCACACAACTGATCAAGGTTTCTTCTACATACCTTTCTCATTCATAATCAGTAACAATGCCTCACAATCCGAATCGAATTTGGGGCTGTTTTATTTCAAGATCTCGGGCAGATTTGTTTGGTATCGGGCTGGGTGACGCTACAGAGGGGTTGTGGCATGAACGAGACTGGCAGCAGGGTGGATTTGATTCGTACCAGGATTTGTGAGGCTAGGGTGTAATACTTGAGATTTAATTTAAACGGATTAATAGTATTACTCATACCAACAAGGTGCATCTCCTTTTAAGGGAGCTCATCAGCTAAGAACTCCAAAGTTAAGTGTGCTTGCAGGGGTCTGGAAGGTGTGTTGGAGTAACTACCTCGAGCCTTACGGGGCGGGGTGTTACAGGTGGTATCAGAGCAACCATGCGACATTGTGGACAAAGTGCGCGAAAAAGGCTAATGGCGGTTTGTGAGGACAGTACTAAGGGTTTGGAAGGTGTGTTGGAATAACTACCTCGAGCCCTACGGGGCGGGGTGTTACATAGGGAAGGGGTTGGGGTGGAGCAATTTTTCCGGGGATGAAGATGGGGTAGAGCGAGGCTGGGATTAGGTAGGGGATGAGGCAGGACTGGTGGATGAGGGGCTGGATTAAGGATTTGAATCTTCTGGCAAAGCTGCAAATCAAACTTCCTTACAACTGAATTGAAAAAGTAAAAGCAACACAGTAGAAGTCTTTCCCTTGCCCAACACAATAAACTGAACACAATGAATGACTTGCGGTGTATGCAGTGTGAACGGCCACAGAATACAAAAGTTACGATCATAAGGTGTCACTGAGTCATAGTCATTGGGCGGCGGTCACTGAATCATGGTCACTGTGACTGGAACAAGCCACAGGACCATGATCATCGTGGTCGAAGTAAGTCAGTGAGCGGGGGTTACTGAATCATAGTCACTTTTGCCGGAGCATGTAATCGGAAAATGAAATTAGTGACTACACTTTGCAAATGAACAACATACTATATTTAGTTACCATTTAAAAAATAACGTCATTAGGATTGCCAATTTTCTTAATTTCTTAAAAATTGTAAAAGTAGTAAATTTTAGTAACTACCAGAGTACTTGCTATCAAGATCGCACAAATGTAGACCTTTAGTGACTATTCCGTATATAGTAACTACCAAATGATGTTAAAAGAATAAAACGGTTCATATATGCTTTTAGTTACCAAATTAAAAATGAGAATTAATGATTCCGATTTTTTAATGAGAATTAATGAATCCAATTTTTTTTAATGAGAATTAATGAATCCAATTTTTTTGATCAGCAGTCTTTGGAATATTAATCCACACAGTAGAAGTCTTTGGATTTGGAATGCTAAACCCACGTGAGTAACACGTAGTCATACTATTAGAAAATTATTTCTTAAGTCATTTTTTTGTCTTTTGAACTATTATTTGTAATATTTATAAAAAAGGCCTTGTTTATTTAAACAACCCCCCATAATTATTACCATCAGAAACGAGAGTTGGTCGTTGATAATTAATCTGGAACAGATTTTCCAGGCCGAAGATTAGGCATAGATACGGTTCATGGAAATGCACATTTAAGGGTTGGTATACCGTGGGAGCAGCCCATGGTGAGAATGGTGCTCCCACAGTTAATTCATGTGTGAACAGTAACACGCGTGAACAGTAACATTCTTTTTTGTTCCCAGTAACAGGGAGATGTAACTTGTGTGTAATGAAATGTAACTCACGTCAATATGCAAGGTAACTGCAAGCAAGTTGTGGTGTAACTTTTCTAATACGAAGAAGAATAAATAAAATGTTGATTTCAATGTAAACAATGAAAAAAAGTAGTCTAATTGCTCAATTACTATACATAAGTAGTAAATACGTGTTGTTTTTAATATTAAGGCCATAAAAATATATTTTTAAATATCTTTTTTTTGCCAAAATATCATTTTTTTTTGCAAAAAAAAAATGAATTTTTTGTTTCAATAGTTGATGTTTATTTTGGTATGTAACTAGTGTTATGGAAAATGTAACTCATGTCGATGAAAAAATCTAACTTAGGTGTATGCAAAATGTAACTTGTTGAAGCAAGTCTAAGTGCAACTTGGGTACAAGAAGATGTAACTCACGCATAAAATTGTGTAACTCGTCCATACGAAGATGTAACTTCATATACTATCAATTGTAAACAATGAAAACAAGGAGCTTAATTGCTCAATTACGCTATGTAAATAATGAATATGTTTTGTTTTTAATATTTAAGGCCATAAAAAATTGTTTCTTAGAAAATATTTTTTTTGCCAAAACTTTTTTTTTGGGGATTTTTTTTTGCCAAAAAGAATCAGTTTTTGTGCAAAGAAATGGTTATTTTCTTTCAATAGCAGATGTTTATTTAGTGATGTAACTCATATTATGAAAAATGTAACATGTACTGATTGAAAACTAACTTAGGTATATGCAAAATGTAACTTGTTGAGATAAGTCTAGATGTAACTCGCGCGTATGAAGATCTAACTCACTCATAAAAAGATGCAACTCACGTACAAGAAGATGTAACTTCATATATTATGAAATGTAAGTCCTGAAATTGTCAATAAAGATAACTCACACTTGTAGAAATATAAATCACACAGGAAAATGTAATCTCATACTTTATCAAATGTAAATCAAAATAACCAAATTTAATGTCTAAAAAAATACAAAAAACATACTCCATATAAGAGAGATAATAAATATATTATAGGAAAAAATGTGAATGTGAAAAAATATATTACAAATAAGTGTATAAATATAAAAAATATTTATTCTGAAGAAAAATGGATAATTTTTTATTGTATTTTTAGTTGAATAAAAAGAAAAGAAAAGGAAAAGTGTATCAATAAGGACTAAGAGAGAAAGAAAAAGTAATTAATTTATTTGAAAGGATGAAATTTGATCACAAAATTATAATATGTTCTGTGCTCTTAAATTAAAAAAAGTAATTGGAAACATTATAGCTTTTGATGATAAAAAAATCAAAAGAAACAAATGAAAAAGAAAAATGAAATGTGAGTGAGGGATGTGTGAGTGGAGAAATCATGCAATCATTCAGCAAGTGATCTTGTATGCTTCATTTGTTATACGGATTAAAAACACGGTACCGTATTTGGGATGAGTGTACCATGCGCATGGTACACCGATCCCACGGTATAATTTGCCCACATTTAAGGTTAAATTAATGCTCAATTCAAATGTGCAGAAACAATTGAATCAAATGTGCATAAATAATTGAACTTATGATTTCTGAACAAATTCCAATCACATAAGCAAAATGATGTTTCAATAAACGAAAATGCAGTGTGGTAAAGCGTTTTCAGCCAAATCAGTGTAGACGTGTAGTGCCTAGAATGATGTTGGAGATTTATCGAAATAAAGCTCAATTGTTATACTACATGATCCCCACTACAAAAAAACACGCCGTTTGTCACGGATTTTTGTCACGGATTCCGGCCGTGACAAAGTTGTCACGGGCTTTGTCACGGAATTTTGGGATTTGTCACGAAAATGATTTGGTCCGTGACAAATTTACTCCGGCGACCGGTTTTTTACTCCGGTGAAAACTTTTTTTGCTCCCGGGCATTTGTCACGGACAGATCCGTGACAAATCCGTGACAAATTTCAAAAAAACTTTGTCACGGATGGATCTGTGAAACAATCCGTGACAAACCTCAATTATTGATTTTCCAGCGGTAACCTTTAATAA